GGTAAATATTTACCCTTAGATAGCACCCGCCAATCAACTTCCGTTTGACCTTGATGTTGACCTTGACCCCCAAGGAGGTCAAGGTCATTGCCCATTCCCGTCGCTCATTGTTTGTTAAAAAGTTATGAAGAAAATAAGTTTGTATCGGGTTTGCGTATTTCTGTAAAGCACAATATTCTTGTGTGCATATGGACTTACAAATGACGGAAAAATATCTGCTCTACAGAACAGTTAACCCGGGTTAAATATATACAGGGTGTCTGATGCAAAAGTAGCCAACTTAAAAATAGTGGTAGATTGGGTTAAACTAAGGAGAATTATCATGTATGTATACAAATTGCTTCTTCTACAAATTGAACTATTCGCGCGAGGCAAATTCCGAGGGTTAACTGTTCTGTAGAGCAGATAATTTTCCATCATTTGTAAGTCCATACGCACACAAGAATATTGTGCTTTACAGAAATACGCAAACCCGATACAAACTTATTTTCTTCATAACTTTTTAACAAACAATGAGCGACGGGAATGGGCAATGACCTTGACCTCCTTGGGGGTCAAGGTCAATATCAAGGTCAAACGGAAGTTGATTGGCGGGTGCTATCTAAGGGTAAATATTTACCCTAATCTTAAAGCATTTGGATATCTTGAGAAAAAAAGGGTGAATTTTAAAATGTTCGCCATCAAGAAAAGATTCCAATAATCCTGCTTTCGATTTTTTTTCATTTTGTATAGCTTGCATAATGTCTTTATTTGATAACAGAAGCTTTAAAACCTTGATAATAGGTACATATTGACACGATTCCAGTACCGATTTAGGTTTAAAAGAACATGTTTCATTATCCATAACCATATCCATTCGATAACCTAAGGGAATTTCTTTTGGATCAATATACCCATATGTTGTTTTAAGAGCTGTCATGTGTTGATCTAAGGTTCTCAAGTTGTGAAATAAATATTCAATATCTATAGTTTTGAACAAATCTTCAATTGCTTCATCATGTAATATCTCATTATTTTTCAAATTATTAAATGTTTTCTACTTTAAGAATGTTAAAATATAGTTTATAATCTCTTCAAATTCATCAAGAATAGTAGACACTAACTTTCCTGTAACCGAGCTGTTGCAATATAATTTTCCAATAAATCGAATTATAAATTGTTTTAACGCCAAATTCACATCAATTTCATTATTAATATTCACTTCATTTTCTTCTCTTATAACCTCAAAATTGTCATGAACATTTTCATTTCTACGAACATTTTTATTTCCTTCAATATCTATTTCCCTTGCAATATCATAAATTTCACGATTAATTTGTTTCATCCATGTTATAATTGAGAAAATCTCTTCTGTTTCACACATTTAAATGTTGTTTTCTTATATGCTCTCTCAATTTAAAAAAAAATTTATACTTTCTTTGACAACCGTTTTGCCCGCATACAAAATCTGTATTGCCCATTTTCCGAGTAATCGTGAGTCCATGGTAATTGATGAAATGCTGACGTAAACCATTCAATCCATGTGAAATCATATTATTGCATACTGAACAATGTAATCGTGTATGTTCCATAACGTAACGGTTCATGCACTATCTTTGTGGTTCTTATCTTAAACATCACGTAAGAAGAGTTTTGTTATAAGAAATTTTATATAAATACATTATTTACTTTTATATTCCATATCATTTAGTACATAGTATAGAAATTGAATTATTTCTGCTCGACTTTATTTTAAGCCTATACAAGAGAGAGAGATACTTTTTGTAATACTTTTGTAATAATTTTAATGTAAAGTTGAAAGGGCACTTACCTTCTAGAATTTCCGTAACTTGTAAAGGTACATCTAATTTTTGTAAAATTTTTTGCAATTCCGCCACAGATGTTTTGTCGTTGATGCTTTCCATTGATGCTTTTATGTTCTGACGTTTTTAATCTCCGTTTTCTAAATTTAAGAAAATTGAAATCTCAATTTATTATTCATAGAACATCGATAATAAATAAATGTAATATAGCTTATAATCTGAGAGAGGAGAAGGGAGGGGAGAGGGGAGAGAAAGAGGGGAGGGAGGGAGGAAGGGGTGAGTAAGTGAGTGAGTGAGTGAGTGAGTATGTGTGTGTGTGTATGTGTATGTGCGTGTGCGTGTGCGTGTGCGTATGCGTGTGCGTGTGCGTGTGCGTGTGCGTGTGCGTGTGCGTGTGCGTGAGGGAGAGGGAGAGGGAGAGGGAGAGGGAGAGGGAGAGGGAGAGGGAGAGGGAGAGGGAGAGGGAGAGGGAGAGGGAGAGGAGAGGGAGAGGGAGAGGAGAGGAGAGGAGAGGAGAGGAGAGGAGAGGAGAGGAGAGGAGAGGAGAGGAGAGGAGAGGAGAGGAGAGGAGAGGAGAGGAGAGGAGAGGAGAGGAGAGGAGAGGAGAGGAGA